TCCAAATATAATTTGGACAATTCATTGAAAAAAAAAAAACATGAAGCTGGGGTTATGTTATTAAATATTATTAAAAACAGTAATAAGTTACCACAAATCATTGTTCTTTTCACATATTAAACTAAATTGGACCAAAATCTCCCAAGACTTTAACCGGTTATATAAATCCTTCCAAATGATTTGTATTAAATGAAAATGGAAAAATTAAATGTCCCACTGTTTCTATTCCGGCATTACAAAATAAACTACATTGAGATATTAACATTAAACATTAATCTTAAAAATTAGAGATCAGATAAATGCGATTTTATGATTTTTAAATAAATAGTTAAGCAAAAAAATTACATTTGCTGAATATGTGCTCATCCTCAGGTTATCCAAGATGTAGATGAGTTTTTTTTCTTCATCAGATTTGGAAAATTGTACTTGCTCACCAATGGATGCTCTGCAGTGAATGGGTGCCGTCAGAATGAGAGTCCAAACAGCTGATAAGTGATATTTTGGATTACAGGAAGCATTATTATGGATTTTGGACTTGTATTTTAGCTAAAATTTATTAATGATGGATTTGTTTTTTACAAACATGTAGCTTTTGGTTTCGCAAGACGTAGGACTGGAGTGGTGTGCATTACTCATGGTTTATTGTGTTTTTATCATTTTATTTGTTTGGACTCTTATTCTGACGGCACCCATTTGCTGCAGAGCATACATTGGTGAGCAAGTGATGGCATGAATCCTGGATATGAATCCTGGAAAATATGTCTGAACAAGACATTACTTGAGAAATACATTAGTGCATAGCATCTTACATGTCAGTCTTACAGAAAAGGCTGTTTGGAGTGGGTTGACATGCAATTTTATCATGTTTACTGTATATAATAGTCATGGTGACACATTTCAGTGTGTAAACAAACAGCTAGTACGGTTGGGGGTGAATTAAAGCCAGTTAAACAGACTGGGTACAGCTTGTTTATGTGCTTTTTACAGTATTTGATGGCTTGGAACAAAGGTTTGTGAAATTTAATGGAGGATTCGGCCAAGAGCAGCTGCTGTGGCTCGATGAAGTCTTAACTCTTGCTGACCAGAAACAGGAGAGAGTAACTGTCTGTAGTAAGTATACACACTTTTATATGCTTTTAAGATCTTTATGCTTGGTCTTTTACTCTTTTCAGGTCTTTACAGTATTTGTCAAAAGTTTGCAAAACATTATTTAATGTTGTTAAAGTCTCTTCTGCTCACCAAGGCTACATTTATTTGATCAGCTAAACAATTAAAATTGTGAAATAGTATTGCAATTTTAAAATGTGTTTTCTATGTGAAAATATTGTAAAATGTAATTTATTCCTGTGATCAAAGCTGAATTTTCAGCATCATTACTCTAGTCTTCAGTGTCACATGATCTTCAGAAATCATTCTAATATGCTGACTTGCTGCTCAAAAAACATTTCTGATTATTATCAGTGTTGAAAACAGTTGTGCTGCTTCATGTTTTTGTGGAAACCGTGATACATTTTTCGTGATTTACATTTTTCAGAATTCTGTGATGAATAGAAAGTTCGAAAGAACAGCATTTATTTGAAATAGAAATCTTTTGTAACATTATAAATGCCTTTACTGTCACTTTTGATCAATTTAACGTGTCCTTGGTGAATAAAAGCATCCATGTCTTTTGAGTGATAATTTATAATGAAACAAAAATCTGAAGCAGCAAATGAAAATTAAGCTTTGCTCTCAGGAATAAATTACATTTTACAATAGATTCACATAGAAAACAGTTATTTTAAATTGCAATAGCATTTCATAATTTTTACTGTATCTTTGAGTAAATAAATGCAGCCTTGGTGAGCAGAAGAGACTTAGTTAAGAACATTTAAAAATGTAATGTTTCTAAACTTTTGACAATCACTGTATATTGTGTATTTGTGTAGGTCATCTTCCTGTTCACCCGTACGCCACAGACCCCATCTGTCTGGCGTGGAACTACGACGCCATGCAGTCCGTGCTGCGCTCTCATAAGAGCGTGGTTTGCTTCATGGCGGGACACGATCATGATGGAGGATATTACATGGATGAGTCTGGTGTTCACCACATCACGCTGGAGGGGGTGATTGAAACACGTCCAGACAGCAATGCCTTCGGGACGGTTTATGTCTATGAGGACCAGATGGTTCTAAAGGGCAACGGAAGGATATCAGACATGGTTCTCAAGTATCCATGAGTGGAAAGCATTTATGAACTGACAGGAGAGAAGATTATTGTCAATGAATGATGGAATGGAAAATAATAAACAAACACCCTTCCGTATGATCCTCTCAATTTCTGCTTGCATTTAGTGTTAAATCAGATTTTTATAAACCCTAAGATATGTTCATGTATAGCCTATAAGTAACACTATTACCAACAAAATGAACAATTAAAATGAACAACAACAAACCCTTAATAAGGTTAAGTCATCACTGACAAGATGGGATTTTAATGAAAGTTGGCTACCTATGCAGTAGAAACGCAAAACCGGGACATAACGAAGTAAAAAAAAAAAAAAAAATTTTGCTTATGTAACGATATAAAGTTGGTTGAGAATCTGTGAACTTGCCCTTTAATATTAGAAACAAGCGAAACAAGCGACGAAACACGCAATGAATACATTACCATTGTATATAGGCTATATGAAGAGGAAATTATATATATTGTTGCTATATAAATATAAAATTATATTTATAAAAGAAGTAGCCTATATACATTTTATTGCATTATACTGTGTGAGTGCATAATTTCAATAATGTCAGTAGTAACGTACAGTAGTATACATTTAGTTTTATATTTATATTCTTGTGGATGAAATCTTAATATCATTATGACTTCTTTTATAAATATAATTTTATATTTATATAGCAACAATATATATAATTTCCTCTTCATATAGCCTATATACAATGGTAATGTATTCATTGCGTGTTTCATGTTTATTGTCGCTTGTTTCTAATATTAAAGGGCAAGTTCACAGATTCTCAACCAACTTTATATCGTTACAATATCGGCATAAGTAAACGAACAATGTGTATTATTTTTACGTGTCACCTGCACCAAGATATTCTCGTTTATGTCGGCAAACGCCTGTCGGATGACATAAAACGCATCACTTTTGACAACTCCAGGACTTTTGTATAAAAACTACAGAACGTACTTCCGCATTTTTGTATCCAGCTTCCGGATCAGCTGATCGAGCTCAATGCATTATGGGTGCTGGAG